TGGGCGGCCGCATGATCACAGCTCAAAAGCATGCATCTCACGAAACGAAACAGTTTGGCTAAAACAAAGAATAATCATTTCCCTTTGCCTTCTGTCCGTTGCTCCTCGCGTCCTAGCAGCCCACGAGATCGTTGGCCCTGGCTCTCGTCGCTTGCCTTAGAGGATCTTCAGCAGCTATTCAATAATCAATACGCCAATACAACTCTCTTGATAAGGTGATAATGAAGTGACCTAAAATTTCTTTTAATTATTGATAAAGATGTTAAAACTGAACGCCAATAATTTTCTCCAATACATGGAAAACATACGTATTATATTAAACATTTTTTTAAAAAAAAATCTCTCTCTCTCTCTCTCTCTTCTCCCGGTCCATAACATCGTCCCGCACCACGCCCCACCTCCCTATACCTCCATGCACTACTCCTCAACTCCCCGCCTCACTCCACTGTCTCTGGGCACTCCTACTCGCCTCACTGCCACTATCTCCACACATTACCACCTTGCATCAATGTCCACCTGCAGCGCGGCCAGCCTCCCGGCACTATCATCCACCTCTCCGTGGCCTCCCCGCAGCGCCACTCAACCCAGCCCTCACCTCATCGTCTCTATACCTAGCCCCCGTCGCGTCGACCCTAGCCTCAATGAAATCGGACTCGTCTTCGTCCCAAGCACCGACTGCATCCGAGCCAGGGCATGGGTAGAGCACGAGCTTAGGTTCGCATCCCGCTGGAGCTTGGATGGGATGCTACCAACAGGCGCGGGCATCATAAGCTTGGGGCGCGCGTGAGCTCGGCATCTCTAGCCAACGGCAGGAGATTTCCAACTAGGTTTAGGTAGGCAGCATAGGAAGGATAAGCAGTAGTAAGAGTAGGCCCAATCCTATTGGGAAGATACAACGGCAGGAGATAATAGATATTGTTGGACACTCTGCTAGCAACTACTACCTCTGTCCCAAAAAGGATGCAACTATGGGTTGCGTGTTAGTTAAAGTACTTCATATTTGACTAAATTTCTAATAAATAGTATTCACATTTATGACTCTAAATCAATTTTTTTATAAAAATACATTTCGATAATTAATCTAATGGTATTTATTTGATATTATAAATATTTATACTTTTTTATCTATAATTGATCAGTCTTGATATATATTAAAACATGGCACTGTTTTAGAACTGTATTCTTTTAGGACGGAGGGAGCATCTCACTAGCATCTCCATGATCCTTTTTGTGTCCCGCCCTGAGCCCTTTCTTCAGTTGGAGGGAAAGTTGGAATTTTGGTATTGTAGCACTTTCGTTTTTATTTGGCAATCAGTGTTCAATCATGGAGTAATTAGGCTCAAACGTTCGTCTCGTAATTTCCAACAAAACTGTGTAATTAGTTTTTTTCATCTACATTTAATGTTCCATGTACGTATCGTAAAATTCGATGTGATAGGTACTGTAGCACTTTTTGACAAAAGTTTTCAAAACTAAACGCGCTGAGTCCGTGAAGGACATTAAAGGCAACCAGCGCGGGATCCAACCCAGAACCTTTCACTTTGGGCTTCACAGCGTTAACCAGTCTACTAGCAAGGAGAGTTTTCTGCAAGGGAGAAACCTCAAATCCTATTCAATAGCACCAAATAAAGAAAAAAATACCATAATTAATTACTCCTTGATATTCTAAATCATGTTAAAAAACAACTTGAATTTTGAGTGTGATTGTAGTGTAGTAGTAGTAGTAAAATTTAGACAAGCCAAAAGGATTTATAATTAGCTGGCGCCACTTGGTGCCAGCGAGCCTAACCAACGTAGATCGGACAGCGAGCCAGGCAGCAATGGAAGCGCGCCATCCACGGCGAGCACGCCGCTTTTCCCGTCAGTGCGACGCGATGCCAGATGCGGACGGACACTCTCCCTTCCCCGCCTCATCAGAATCTCCTTTGTTTGTTTTGTTTAATGGACTTAGCGGTTGTTTGATTGCTCCTCCTAAATTTTAGTTGTTATTCTATCGAATATTTAGACACATGTATGGAGTATTAAATATAAACTAATTACGAAACTAAGGGCGTGTTTAGCATAGCTCCACTCCGGAACTCCAGCAACTCCACCAAAAAATCCAGCCAAACACCCTAGCTCCAAAACTCCATGGAGCAGCCAACTCCATGGAGCATAGTACAAATGAAACTGGAGTTTTGAAGCATCTCTTTAGCTGCTCCAAAACAACCTCTTTTGAACCTTCTCGTGGAGTTGGTGGGTAATTATCCACCAATGCCACTGGTTACACAAAAAAAAACGTTTCAATCTATTCTTCCCGAGCCCCCACCCACGCCTCCTTTCCTTAGCCCCGCCGCCCGTCGCTGCCCAGCCCCGCCTCTCTCTCCTCCTCTCTCGCAGGACGGCGGCGCCGCTGCAGTGGGTGGGTGCCCAGGAGAGCGCCGCGAGCTTGGGGCGGCATCGGCACCCATCGGTCCACCACGCGGCTCGCGACACCCGCCCCCACCCGGCTGGCGAGCGGCTGGAATGCTATTGGTACAGCGCGCGATGGTCCAGGGCCAAACCACCAAAGCTCCATCGCCCGCATCGGAGAGGTCCACCAGATGACGATTGGGTCGACGTCACGGAGGTGCTCGTCACGCCGGCGGCCGAGGGTGGCCTCACTAACGGCGCGTTCCTCGGCGTGCGGTCCACGCCCACCGGCAGACACAGCATCTTCCCCGTCGGGAAGCTCTGGTCTGCATGCGATGTGCGAATTCTTCAGATTTGTTCCTCTGTTCTGTCAACGATGTTTTTTTTATTTGTTTTCCCGTTCCCGGATAAGGTAATCAGTTCAATTTGTACGTGATGGTTCAGTAATCTGCTCGATTGATTCTGTGCACGCTCCTGCGCTGCCACCGCCGGATCCACGCTCGGCCGCCTCCCAGATACGCGTAGTGTGAAAACTATCCAGTCCGAAAACTATCTAGGCGAAGAAGATGATGGGATAGGGAGGATGACAAGTGGGGCCTAAATCGAAGGGCAATAATGACAATCCACACTGAAATCGGTTTTTTTTTAGCTGAGAGCACCTATCCAGCCAAACACCCCATTTTTGTTCTAGAGTTCTGGAGTGGAGCTGGCTCCACTTGGAGTTCTAGAGTGGAGCAGCTCTACCCGGAGTTGGAGCCATACCAAATAAGGCCTAATTGCATAGTTTTCGACTAATTTACGAGACGAATCTTTTAAGCCTAATTAGTCCATGATTTGACAATGTTTGCTACAGTAAACATGTGTTAATGCCGGATTAATTAGGCTTAAAAAATCATCTCGTGGAGTATTAACGGATTATGTAATTTGTTTTTTTATTAGTATCCGAATACCACATACAATATTCTCCCGACATACCTCCTAAATTTTAGTCACTTATCCAAATACCCCTTAATCTTTCAAGCAGCACCGTACCCCACGCGATTAGATTAGTGCTCCCTACTGTACGTCAAGCGGCAAGCATCGCCGTCATGTCCCGCACCGATCGTAGGGACCAATCTTGACTCCACAGCAGGCGCCAGGAGGGCTAGCTAGACGGCGACATTAGTGCCATGGAGACGACCGAACCGTGGTGGGTGGTAATAATGGAGCTGCTGCGTGCACAGCACAGCAAGCCAAAGCAGTGCCGCTTTGCTCGCACCTTAGGTGCCATTCATGGAGGGAGAGAGCCAGAGAGGTGCCGGGCCACCAGGCAATAACGAAGGGATCGGTGAGGGCGGCGAGGCGAGCCGGGGGTACCGGGCCGGGGCTCCTTTATTTATGCTTTGGGGGTATTTGGTTACAGGGACTAATTTTTAGTCCTTATCACATCGGATGTTTGGACACTAATTTGGAGTACTAAATATATTCTAATTACAAAACTAATTACACAGATGGAGACTAATTTATGCTAATTAATCCATCATTAGAGTATATTTACTTGTAGCACCACATTGTCAAATCTGCTCCCGCAAATTAGTCTCCATCTATGTAATTAGTTTTGTAATTAAAATATATTTAATACTCCGGCTGCCCCCAAACATCCGATGGGTACTACGTACAGACGTACAGCAACACCCCCTTATTGCTTTACGGAGGGGTGGGGGAGACGACAGCACAGTAGGAGGGGTGGGGGGAGGAGAGAAGGAGAAGCAAACAACATAGCAGTCCGGTCAAGTCGTGCATGCCTGATGATGCCTGGCCGTAATAATAATAGGGTACCCATAATAATAATGGTGAGTGGTGATCAGGCGGGTCTTCCTCGCGGCTCAGATCTGCTCACCAATCCGGTCAAAAGCGGGGGCGCAGGAGGGAGTGCTAGAGGATGGGAGGGACGGCCGGAGGGGGATGTGATAATTTCATGGCAACAACATTCCATTCTGCAGAAGCATCCTGCAGGCTGCAGGACCGGGGCGCCCCACCTCTCACCGCGCCACCGGCCAAGCTCTGTTCCCGCTGCCCAGCCCAGCTTTCAATGCCCGCAATCTCCCCAACCCTCTCGCTGCTTCGCCTGTACTTTCACTGACCCAAAAACCCGCACGCGCGCCTGGGGCTGGGCCAAGTGCCAAAAACTAAAAAACAAACATTTTCTTTTGCCATCCGACCGACGACCCAATTAGTTGGCCAAACAATACCCAGTGGAGGAAAACGAGCGAATGCCATGTTAAGAATCGGTGCCTTGGCTGCTTACAGTAGCTATTACACCTACTGTTGATCGATCGAGAATCACGAATCCATCCTCCCTGCCTGCCAACATTACGTACGTACAAAACTGGAAACAATTTTAGAGAGAAATTCTCCGTCCTGGTCCCGGCATACATACACGCCGCCGGCGCCGGCCAGCGCCCCACGGACGCTGGGTTGCAAGCAAGGCCATACAAGCCGCCGGCAGCTTCTGCGCTTGGCCTACCCCTGAGTGAAGTGAAGGATCTTTCCGCCTTGGGGAACAGATCGAAGAACACTAGGGGCCCGGCAATCATGGCCAATTAATGATGATGATGATGATGATCAGATCAGTAGTGTTGGAGGAAGTCGTCGGAGTTGGCGATGCAGTCGGTGTTCGGCCAGGCGGAGCGGAGCAGCTTCAGCAGGTGCTGCGCCTTGCGCTTGGCGCGCTCCGAGCACCCGCCCTGCACCAACATCAGCAGCTGGCTCATGGCGCCCGCCCGGACCGCCTCCACCTGCAGCGCCTCGCACCCGCCCACCACGGCCACCAGCGCGCCCGCCGCGTGCTCCGCCGCGCGCCCGGACATGGCGCGCACCAGCGCCGCCACGGCCGCGGCCCCGCCCCCGGCCCCCGCGACCACGGCGTCGCGCCCGCCCTCGGCGCGGCACAGGCGCTCCACGGCCGCCAGCGCGCGCTCGGGCTCCCCGGCGCCGCCCTCCGCCACGCGCCGCGCCAGCGCCGACGCGGCGCCCGCCGCCACGGCGCGCGGGCGGTTCTCCTTGGCCAGGCACAGCGCGAACAGGGCCCGGATCCCGACGCGCACGGCGCGGGCGTTGGCCTTCTCCTCCACCAGCGCCACCAGGCCGTCCATGACGCCCTCGGCGGCGCCCAGCACGGCGCGGGCCTCCGCGCCCGACGCCGACGCCGCGGCCTCCGCCACGGCGCCCGCGTTCACCGTCGCCTCCAGTGGGACGCCGGCGCCGCCGCCGAGGACCTTGCCGAGCCTGGCCACCCTCTCCTCCCTCCCGACCACCTCCGCGGCCTCCGCCTCCCCGAGGCCCACCAGCGCGAGCACCGCCATGGCCTCCGCCTCCAGCTCCTCGCTGCTAGCCGCCCCGGAGCCGAAGGCGGCCTCCACCAGCGCGGCCCTGGTCTCGTGCGTGGCCATGACGAGCCTGTTCTTGTCGGACTCCCTGGCGAGCGCCCTGAGCCTCCGCAGCGCGGGGAGGCCCGGGCCCTGCGCGACGAGGGAGCGCACCAGGTCCGGGTCCGCGGGCTGCTTCGGCGTCGGGATGCGCTCCACGCCCATGGACCGGTGCGCCACGCACCACTCCTGGATGAGCCGGCGGAGGGTGTGGTTGGGGATGAGTGTGAAGTCCGCCAGCGGCGCGCGAGTGACCGGGCAGGTGGTGTTGCCGGTGGCCACCCACGACTCGATGCTGGCGCGGTCGTAGGTCTGCCCCGTCGACACCGTCACGGGGTCGCGCATCAGCTCCAGGGAGATGGGGCACCGGAAGTACCACGGCACCTGCAGCCCCGCCGTGTCCAGGCCCAGAGCCAGCGGCACGCTCCCCGGCATTACAACCAACCCCTCCCCCCCGTACGTGCGCTGGTGGTGGTGCTGCTGCTGCAGTCTGAGCAAGCGCGATTGGGATGGATCTTGGCCGAGAGAGCTAGGTAGCTAGCTCGCTCGCGCTGGAGATGGATGGAGACGTGGTGCGCGTGAGGGGGAAGGAGAGAGACGAGAGGTGGTTGGGCGAGTGGTGGCCGAGAGAGGAGGCTGCTGACTGCAGGTGCGGTGAGGACTGAGAGTGGTGGAGGAAGGAGACCGGCCGATTCGATTCGATCTGGAGGACGACGAATGGCGCCGAGTATAAGTAGGCGGGAGGTGGCCAGCACGTGTGCGGGGTGGGGATCACTGCCGGAGCCGGGAGTGGGAATCCTTGGAGTACCATTACGGCATTATCACTTCTACCGCGGCGGGAAGGGAGTCCGTGCCGGCATTCCCGGTCCGACGGCCGTGCCGTGCGGCTCCACCGGTCGGGACGTCCCTGCCGGTTGGCGGATGCCGATTGGGCGCAGTGCGGGCGCCAATGCGACGGCGTCTGAGGCCGAGTCAGGCCCAATTGACTGGGCCGAGGCGACACACGCTTCCACCTGGTCCTGACACGGCGGGGGCCCACAGCGCAGCGGGCCAGACAAATCTGGGAATATTTGTTGAGATTATTACTCGCTGACGACGATCCTCTAGCGCTGTTCTGCGCAGCTCAGGCGATGATGATGGAGCAAAAACTTGAAGGCTTGTTGCCATCCCCTGCAGGCTCTGCCCTAGTATTTAGGGGGTGTTTGAATCCGATAACTAAAATTTAGTAGGTGTTATATGAGGATGTCGTATGTGATGTTCGGATACTAATAAAAAATAAATTATAGAATCCGTTAGTACTTCACGAGATGAATTTATTAAGACTAATTAATCTATCATTAGCACATGTTTACTGTAGCATCATATTTTCAAATCATGAACTAATTAGGCTTAAAAGATTCGTATCGCAAATTAGTCGCAAACTGTACAATTAGTTTCATAATCAATCTATATTTAATACTTCATATATGTGTTCAAATATCCAATAGGACAACGACTAAACACCCCCTTACTAACTCCCTCTCTCGCAAGCAATAATATATATATATACACACTACAACCCACACGGGCGTACGCAACGCGATCTGCGGCCAGCTCGATCGTAAATTTTTAGCCAGAATAGTATTTTTCTCTCACACAAACCAGTCAATCGTACTTCTTCATGAACCAACAACGTACTTCTTCACGAACCAGCAACGATATGAACCCAGCCAACCCAACAGTCTCAATAGTTTTTCCCAGCTGCGCATGCACGCGGAGACGACGCAAGCTGGGATCGATCGGGGTCTCTGCCCACCAGCTACATAACACGGCACACTGCATGGTCACATGCGCCTTGTTCGCTAGCAAGGCCACACAGGCTTCTCCTTCTCCTCCCCTTACGCTTGCCACTAGAAAAAACGATCGTGCCCTGCTGCTTTGGGTGGTTCTACAGAAACAGAGCACAGCAAGGAAGGAAGAGGACGGGAAACAGGATAGCCTACGGGCTTAGCCTGTTTGGGCATCGTCTCGTTGGCCCTCCTCCTAAATAACAGGATAGCCTACGGGCTTAAACCAGTATCTCTTTTATGTGACTAACAAAAGGATGTGTTTGGTTGTCCTTCCTAAATTTTAGTCGTTGTCACATCGGATGTTTGGACACATGCATGGAATATTAAATATAGACTAATTACGAAACTAATTATATAGTTTGCGACTAATTTGCGAGACGAATCTTTTGAGCCTAATTAGTCCATGATTGACAATGTTTTGCTACAGTAAACATGTGCTAATGATGGATTAATTTGTCTTAAAAATTTCGTCTCGTGGAATACTGACGGATTATGTAATTTGTTTTTTATTAGTATCCGAACACCCCATGCAACATCCTCCCGACACACCTTCTTAATTTTAGTAACCGGGTCAAATATCCCCTTAAACTAGAGTGGTCACTAGTCAGCTAGCTAGGTACTAGTCCACTCCACACCCATACACATCAGGTAGATGCCGATCCATGGCAAATGGCGGAGTACCTTGAAATGTACCACAGCCCACAGTGCCGTCTCTTCGATTTCGTCTCCGACTGCAGTAGCAAGGTACGCTGCTCATGATATATGACCCGTACGTGTACCGGTTTATGTGGGCGGATTATGCTCCTACGTACATTAACCATGCACGAGTCAATTAGAATCAACGGCATGTTCCGGCATCGCATCACATCCACTTGATCGATATTTCTTCAGTCAATGGAAAAGTGTCGGTCGCCGCCTTGCCCGGTTCACATTGGGCGCCTACGAGCTACTCCCTTAATTTTGATTTCCGACTGAGGCCTCAATCGATAGGTAGTGCCAATTACTGATCAAGCAACAACTATTTGGTGCATTGGTGGTGCTGGACGGATCGGAGCAGCATTGCCTGCAGTAGCTTCTGCACATTTTATGCATGTATTTGTGGACAGATTAACGCACGAATTTGAGTTGCTGCTTGCTACTCCAATCGTCAAATTAACACACGAATTTGAGTTACTACTCAATCATCAGACTATTATAAGAGCAGCTCTAGCAGCAGGAGCTGCAAATCAGGGGGTCATACTTTTCATTTTAGGGCTTTACTTTTAGGTGTTTTATTTTTATAAGCTCAACTCCATCAATAACACTTAAACCAGTATCTCTTTTATGCGATCCATTTGTTAGTCGCATATATTTTCTTTACACCCCGTTTGAATATCGACATTGGAGCCTATAATTGGGAATTGGAATTATATTTCTTCAATGTTGCTGTTTGGGTATACACAAAATAGAGATTTGGCATTGGAGACATATTTCTTTGGTATTGGACTGTAACTAGAATGGGCCTATCCCAATACCGAGCCTAACCCCTCGTATTGAGTGAAATTGGACCCTGGCGCTCAGCACCTCCACTTATGCTAAGGATTTACACTCAACTTCTACTAAAGTTATGACAATTATCTTCATGTAATTTCTAGGTAGTAACTAAAAACTCGAGTGTGGGTACGAATATTTTACAAAATTATTATAAGACACCTTTAATATGGTGTGAAAGTCCTCTAAAACACTTTATTTTTTTCTTGTAACATACTCATAAAATTCGGATGCTTGAGAAAAGTATTTCACTTGGACATGATATAGCAAAACCAAAAAAAGACTAAAAAACAAAAACTAGAATTCGACACATACTCCCTCCATTCTGAAATACAAGGGATCCAAGTAATTTTAAAGCTAAATAAGGATTCTAGTAAAAGACTAACTTGTCCATCACCAGTTAGTTAGTTTGGTTGTTAATGCGCTTGATTTTCTAGTAAGGCATAGTTTAAAAAGGCAGGCATGCATGACATTGATTTCGGCTACCAATTACATGAGTCTTTTGTGTACAAGATGATGTCTAAACGGTATGTATGGAACTATTGAAAGCTCTAGTTTGGTTTTGGTAAATTGATGAAACTCTAAGTGCTAATATAGTTTATCAAAGTGATTATGAGATAGGTAGCACTACTCCAAGTGGTGAAGCAACTGAAGATCATGACATGATGATGGTGATGATCAAGTGCTTGGACTTAAAAAGAAGAAAGAGAAAAACAAAAGGCTCAAGAAAAAAGTATAAGTGGTAGGAGCCATTTTGTTTCAGTGATCAAGACACTTAGCGAGTGTGATCACATTTAGGTTCGATTGTCGTACTATTAAGAAGGGTGAAACTCGTATCAAAATACGGTTATCAAAGTGCCACTAGATGCTCTAACTCATTGCATATCCATTTATGATCTAGTGGAGTGCTAACACCCTTAAAAATATTTATGAAAATATGCTAACACACATGCACAAATGTGATACACATTGTGTTTAGCACTTGGGAGCAAGGGTTCGAAACTTCACCAGCGGAGTGTCCGCCCGTAGAGTGCGGACAGTACAGAAAAGATAGGGTTTCATAGAGTGCACCGAACGCTGTCCTCGTGGGACTGGACGCGTTCGGTGGCTAAACCTAGGCGTCGGTCAGACAGCAGAGACTGATCGGACTCTAGGCGAGTCCGGTCACTCAGGGAGCTCTCTAGACTCTCTCTGAGTTGCACAGGACGTTGGCCGGTAAAACCGGCCGGACGCTACTCTAGTGAATCCGGTGCTAATGACGTGGCGCTCGGGGGTTTGGTCTGTGTGTTGACCGGATGCTGGGTGAGTCCGGTCAGGGATGATCGGACGTGTCCGATCACGAAAAATTGTCTCTGGATGCTTACTGGAAGTGACCAGACTCCAGGTAGGGTGTGTCCGGTCATCTCTGAGCAGCGTGTCCGATCACCACTTAATCGTGAAAGACACTGTGATTCGACCGTTGAGATCGCGCGGTGGAAAATCAAAGGAGGGGACATGTGGTAGACATCCACGGACTGGACGCTGGGTCCTGAGTCCGATCAGTATGACCGGCGCGTCCGATTGGTGCATAGTGGGCTGCTCTGTGAGCCCAACGGCTCTATTGTTTGGGGTGTGTCTATAAATACCAGTTGGCCGACTCTAGCTCACTCTCTTGGCCATTTGCATGGACATAGCAACCTTATGAGCTTAACCAAAGCCCTCTCACTCATCTCCATCATTGATTCATCATCTTTGTGAGATTGGGAGTGAATACAAGTGCATTGCTTAAGTGTTTGCATCTAGAGGCACTTGGTGTTCGTGTTTCGCTGTAGGATTTGCTTGTTACTTTTGGTGGTTGCCGCCACCTAGATGGCTTGGAGCAGCAATCATTGTCGAGCGGAGGTTGGTGATTGTCTCCGGCTCAGATCGTGGTGATTGTGAGGGGTTCTTGACCTTACCCCGGCGGAGAGCCAAAAGGTACTCTAGTAAATTGCTCGTGGCTTGTGTGATCCTCATTTTATGTTGGTTATGCGGCACCCTATTGAGGGTTTAGCGTGTGATGCCAATTAGCGCGTGAACCTCCAAGTGAGTGAATCG